AGGTTCTGCAGGACGCCGTAGACCTCCTCTTCTTTGCTGAGTCCCTCAAAGAAAGGCAGCAGGTCCAGGAGCTCCGTGTCGTTCATGTCGTCGAACCAGGACTGAACCGGGACCTGTGGAGACGGAGGAGGAGGGTCAGCATTTATCTGATCCAGCAGCAGCTCACACAGCAGACTGGATGCACCGGCTATTCAGCCATAGGTCAGTTTTCTGTATTAGGACTCCCCTAACAAGGTATTTGCAGGTTGTTTACTGTTATATTTAAATTCTATACATAAAAAAAGCTGCCTGTTGGGGGATGATGGACACCAGCTCATGACTTGATTGGCCATTTCTTTTTTTAGTTCTTGATTACAAACAAATTGATGTGAGAGGCCTATAAACAGAACTTGGAATCAGAGTTTGTCAGACGTTTTCAAACCTAGGACGGTTACATGAGCCTTCAAATGAGAAGATGAGTTAACTTTTGAAATATTGACCTCCCTCATCGTTCACTTATTTTAATCAATTTTGCCCTTGAGGAGAGGAGGAGAATCGTGTGAGAAATCGTGTAAAAAGGCCAGATTCGCATCACCATAACAACCAGTGGGGTCAGCTCTGGACCAGCCGTCATTTCCTGACCCACAGTGATAAACCCCCCCTAATTTGCGGATGAGGAACCGGCGGGGGGGCGTTTCCTCCTGCTGAGTGAAGCCCGCAGAGCGTTAAAGCGTTCGGGGGCTTCAGCGTTTTAGTGGCTTTAACGCCTCTCAGGCCAGAAGCCGCCCACTTCGCCGCATCGAAGGGAAAACGTGCGAAAAGACGGGATGGAACCGTCCCCGCATTCTGTCAAACCTCTCCCACTGTTTAAGGGGATGATCGAGTGGAGAGGGAGTCACATAAAGAATAACCCCAAGGCTCGTGTGGCAAAGGAATCAGCAGAATCTGCTGACGATTTCCTTTCCCGTCCTGACTTTACTAGTGAGCTTCAGGGGCTTTGGCGTGAGCCAAACTGACTCCATTCATTTCCTTTAAAAGAAACTGAAGGATTTCATTAACCAGAAAGTAAAGTGTTGATCCCCAGTGATGAGAGAAATAATGTGTTCCTGCTTTGACTATTGGCAGGAACACTGTTAAAAGCACATTACTATTCAAAGTGTGATGTCATGGACTCAGAATGATCACAACGTATTTGACAATGTGGGATGAAGACATCAGCTGGTGGGACTTACAGCGTTTTCTGGGTGGAAAATGTAAGAGGCGGGTGAGTTGTCGACTATGATGACGTTGCTGAGCTCTCGCCCCAGCCGGCTGAGGTCTTTGACATAGTTCCCTCTGTGGAAAACGCAGGATTCTCTGAAGAGACGCGCTCGAAACACGCCCCACTGGTCCAGCAGGTCTGCCACAGGGTCTGCATACTGGTGGGGTCAAACGTAGGGGTGAGAGCTCGCACAGCCATAAAACACCTCCTGAATGTGCAGCCTGAAGCATTTAGCTAGGAACACTCAGACGACAAGCTAAAGAAAAACAACACAAAACAACTAGCGTTCTGGAACGAAGCAAAGCATCTTCATGGGCTGGTGTCTAAGGAAATCCTCGGCTACGACTCCAAACCTTTTACCTTTTAGGAGGAATATCGTCTACTGCGGAAGCGTTGGTGGCGCTACCAAACTAATGGTCTTTTTCCTTGAACTTACCCCCGAATTATTGGCAAGGACACGAGAGAAAACAGGCAGAAAGCAGATTCAAAGTCAAACGGCAAACATTGGGACGGGGAGAGCAGAATGGCTCCACAGGCCTGCTGGTGTGGCTGCGTCTACACACCTTGGCGAGACTGGCTGTGAAGAGCACGCATTCAAACAGGTCCCCCATCTTCTGGAGAAACTCGTCCACGTGTGGTCTCTTCAGCACGTACACCTGAAACACACGCCGGATGTCTTAGTCAGCAAGTGACTTGGCTCAAGTCTTCTGTTGGAGGGAATTACAATCTTATAGGCTTGTCCCGATCCGGTATTTGAAAAAAAAAAGGGTATCGGCCGGCAGGAGAAAATGCAGATCCAGTGTCCCGATCCATTAAAAAAAGTATTTTCCAGCGCACCGATTAAAATAATCCATTCCACTTGTTATGAGAGTAACACGAGTCTGACAACTAAGTAAGTAGGCTAAATAACTTTAAACTTTAGTACATGCTCTGACAGGCGGATCGGGACATCCCTACAATCCTATGCTGCTAAAAAACCCCACGGTGCTGTTTGCTGAAGGGCTCCCAGTCTCCGCCTGGCAGCTGCCACCCAGTGCAAGTAACCGGGAATAGGCCAACCAGGATACACACAGCCTATCCTGGATTACTTGAACTGGATAACAGCCCGTCTCTTCACGTCGGACCACTTATTTCCATCCTAGGGAGAGGACTACGGAAACATGAGTGTAACCTTAATATGGCACTCCAGACACAGTCTATCTTATTTCAATAGAAGAATCAGTAATAAGTTCTTGGGGCCGTACCTGATGAACGGTGCCATCGATCTCCACCGGCACGATGAAGTCAGCGTTGCTGATGGGCTGTGAGGACAGACGATCATTTGGATTAGAGGTGTAGTATCCTAACTGACAAGCAGAGGTCCTACTAGTGGTGAGTAAAACACATGAGCATCCTTTTCAGATCTCTCGTGCCTAAGAATCCAGCGCCTACATAATCCTGCTAGTATTGTACACACAATGATTTTGCCGTCTTCAGACTGAACTGGATGCAGAAACAAGTAGAGGTGGAATGTAAAGAAATCTATTTATTGGAAAAGACCATAAATACAAGCTGAATTAAGTCAACACACACGTTTTACAGTGTGTCTGTGTGCAGCTGGATGCAACCAGCTGCTTGGTCTTGTTTTTTCCCCCCTTCAAGCTACAATCCTGCATTTATTAGAAAGGCACAATTAGCACTATCCAGTACACCCTCCCTGACCTCCATTACAGTATTGGCTGAACAAGATAAAGAAAAGGGTATTACACAATACATAATACAGCATTTTTAACAGTTTGCTTAAGCTTTCGGAATGTTGTGTTTTTCAAAACAAACAAAAAAACAACAACATTTCAGCTTCTTCTTACCTTAAATGAGCTGTGCACAAGTGTTTCATCCAAGTCAATCACCACACACTTTTTACCATAGTCAGATATTTTCATCTCTGGTAGGAGGTATTTAGCTGGGGGCTGTGGGGATGAAGATGTGCACAAATATCAACCAAAGGGACACAGAGACACTGTGCATTTAGCCAAGTGTAAAGATGTGCAGAAAAACACAAGATTAAAAAACAAACTGTTAGGGAGATGCGTTTTCATTGGTTATATTCAAACCGAGAGAAGCGGAGAGCAGAATGATGATTAATCGGGCCAAAGCTTCCAAATGAAAACCAGCAGAGCTGCTCATCATGGACCCGACCCCACACAGCAAAACAATCCAGAAGTCCCCAAAAGGAAAGCCCTTTTAGTCAGGCCTGCGCTCATTTGGACAGTGGCAGACTTTTGGTGACTTTCCTCTGCAAAGCACGACAGTGGAGCTGGTTTTCCCCCAAACTCAGAGGGTTTTTGGAAAACTGACGATATGAAGTGAACCTCCCAGCTAACTTATGAACAAGGGAGCAAAAAGGCCTGGAGTCCATTCTTAGAGGTCAATCTCAGAGCTGCGTCTGACAGAGGGACATGGGATTTGGAGGAAAATTTCCTAAACCATTTACAAGAGTTATTCAGGAATCAATAAATGTTTTAGGTTTAAACAGAAACAATGGCCAGAACTTGAATTAAAACAGTTATTCTTATCTCCATACATGTTTTTAAACGTGTGATTTCTTTGTGGAAAAAAAAAAATCAAGCTTAAATTTTTTTTAAATATTATTTAGATCCTTTTAAAAATGTGAATCGAATATTAAATAAAACAGCAGCTGACAAAGTCTACCAACCAAGAAAGACCAATTTCAACATAGAAAAAGATATGCAAATGGCCACTGACACTGACGGGGAGAGAGAAGAGCACGCTTTGACGGATGAAATTCACATCCTGCATTAGAATGACGGAGAGAGAAGCGCGTAACGAGGGAGAGGTCGGAATAATGATCCGGGAATACCAGATGATCGGTCCTGTCCCGTTTAGGAGTTTTAAGTCCTGGTAAAGCCATTTAAGGACAGAATCGCTGCATTTTTTATGCATCTTGGCTCCAACCTTCAATGAGGGACCAACTCCAGGCCTTTTGCATTCAGTTATACAAAATGCTCAATAAGGACTCATTAATCAAGTTAATTCTGTGTATGTACAGGAAGAGGATGGGTAATAATTCTAAATGGTGAATGCAATATTTTGTGTTACCTCTAGGATTTGAGATTTAAGTCATATAGACTTTTTTTTAGCTGTACTGGGTCAAAATAAGTGTGCCACTGTCCAAATACTTGTGCATGTGACTGTAAACCCCTGAAATCTTTTTCATTTTTCAGGGAAAAAACAAACAAAACAAGCCCCTTTTTCAGAACACGTGCAAACATTAGTTTGTAAGTCTGAAAAATGCCCGCGTGAGCATGACGGCATAAAAAAAAAAAAACTAAAAAAGGTCAATATGCCTGAGTGCAGGAACATGGCTGAATTAGAGCAGATGAATCAAAGAGTTGAGCTACATACAGTCACTGATGGGTAATCTGACCGACTGTTGGCCAGGCCACAGGTAACCAGATCACTTCTAAGTCCATCTTTGAGAGACGGGATCAGTTAGTTTCACCTGAGATGACGATGCAAACCTAAGGACGAGGAGCTGGTGAGGAGTTTAATTCTCACTCAACATTATTCAGCTGAATTCCATCAGTGTACTAATTGTCCCGCACGGGGAGCTCCGGGCAGAAAGCCTCCCAGTTTATGTCACAGCATCTTCAGGATCACACGACCCCCGACGGGTGTAACATGCAGGTGAAACGGCGAGAAGTTTTGAAACCGTGAGTGCACAAAACGCCCTCCAGACAGCGAGTGCTCTGATGGGCTGAAAATGAACGGCGTTAAAAGAGGAGCCAAAGCTCTCTGAGGAGCAGTGGAACCCACACAGAGAGGATGTGCCAGCATCAGCCCACTCAGCCTGACATGCAAAGGAGAGGAGAGGAACACTATACATACACTAGGGACAGGGATGACCTCAACCTGGTCACACTAAAAAACACAGGAGAAGAGTGACAGACAGGGCACAAAAACAAGGTGGACATTAGAACACACACAAACAAACAAACAAACAAACAAAGAGAAGAGTCGATCATCTCAGGTAAAACAACAACAACGGAATGACGACACCGGTCAGAGGCCCTACGGCTGGCGGATCTGAAAACAGGATGAGTGGCGTGTACGGGTGGAGCTGCAGCTCACCTTGGGAGGGGACCCGTTCTCCTCCACGGGGGGCGGCAGGGGGCTGCTGTTGGCGTTTGTGGCTGGTGGCTCCGCATTGTAGTCGCGGAAGCAGCAGAAAAAGGTGCTAAAAATGCTCCGGCTCCTCT